ACAGAAGCAATGTCAACGCCAGATGGTCCTCTTTGGAAGGAAGCTGTCAATAGTGAGATGGACTCAATTAGACAGAATCACACTTACGAGATATCCGATCTACCACAAGAGCTTAAAGCTCTAGGGTGTATATGGATTTTAAAAAAACAAAGTTGAAAACCGATGGATCGATAGACAAGTACAAGGCTAGACTTGTAGTGCAAGGATTTAGACAAAAAAAAAGGTCTAGATTTCTTTGACACCTATTCTCCGGTAACGAGAATAACTTCAATCAGAATGCTGATTGGAATTACAGCACTGAAAGATCTAGAAATCCATCAAATGGATGTGAAAACCGCATTTCTAAATGGTGATTTAGAAGAGGAAATTTACATGAAACAACCTGAAGGGTTTGTTGTCCCAGGACAAGAAAACAAAGTCTGTAGACTTGTTAAATCATTATATGGACTTAAACAAGCTCCAAAACAATGGCATGAAATATTTTGACAATGTAATGATGTCAAATGGTTTCAGCATTAACGAATGTGATAAATGTATATATATTAAAAATACTCCTCATGGGTATGTTTTGCTCTGCTTATATGTTGATGACATGCTCATTCTTGGGAGCAATAAATACATGATCAATCAAACTAAAAATTTGCTAGCAAATTTGATATGAAGGACATGGAATTAGCCGATAAGATTCTAGGAATTAGAATTATAAGACACTCGGATGGAATAATCTTGTCCCAAGAACATTATGCTGAAAAAATACTTCAGCGGTTTAAGAACTACTCAAATAGAGTTGCAAAAACTCCAGCTGACCCTCATTTTAACTTGACAAAAAATTTGGGTGAACCAGTGTCACAAGTGGAATATGCAAGGGTGATCGGAAGTCTTATGTACTTAACAAACTGTACTAGACCCGATTTAGCGCACTCAGTAAATGTACTTAGTCGCTATACAAGTAATCCATGTCATAATCACTGGAAGGCCATAACTAGAGTATTGAATTATCTTTGATACACCAAAAGTTATGGGTCGCACTACAAAGAACCAGCAGTCTTAGAAGGGTATAGTGATGCCAACTGGATTTCAGATTCTAAGAATTCGAAATCAACAAATGGATATATCTTTACACTTGGTGGTGTAGTAGTATCCTGGAAATCTTCCAAACAGACTCTGTTGGCCAGATCAACCATAGAATCTGAGTTTATAACGCTAGACAAAGCCACAGAGGAAGCAAAGTGGCTTCGGAATTTTTCAGAAGATATCCTGATGTGGGAAAAGCCAGTGCCTGCATGGTTGAACACTCCAAGTTCACTCATGAAACCAGGAATGTTTAAGGCCAAAATGAACGCAATAGATATGCTTCATACATGTTCAAATAACATGTGAGAGAGAAAGGAATAAGTCCCATGCGCGCGCCGCCGCCGCCAAGCCGGGCCTTGCCGGGCTGGGCGCAGGTCGTGTTGGTCAAATGGGCCTTCGGGCCTAAGGCGGGTATTCTTTTTAGACCATATTTTTATGAGCGTTTAATCAACGTTTTATGTTGACTTTCTGCAAATGTTTTTGATTCAGTCAAAAGAATAGGATATTCATTATCCCCACAAAAACGTAACAGATTGTGATTAATTACAGATTGCTGATTTTTCGCCTTTGACTTTGCTAAATTTATGGCCGAGATTCGTGTTTGACTCGCAGATTCTGTGAGATTTTGAAGACTCCTCAAGTCTCTTCCTCTGCTATATATACACGACTTCGCTTCTCATTTTTTACATCTTGCACTTCTCATTTTCTACTCTGAAAAAATACGCAACAATCTCTCTCTCTTTTTATTTTTCATAAGTCTTCTCCCGAGAGTATAGTAGAATTAGTTCGTATAGATCAGTGTTTCTTAGTGCTACTGAAAACGGATAAGTTTGGTTGTATCCTGCAACTCTTGTATCACAGAAATCCGTTGTACTACGGGCGATTCAAAGAGTTAAGGAAAGAGATCATAGTCTCGCTTCTACTCATTTCTCTTTACCTTAACGTTTTCATTTAATCTCGTATTTTAATCACTATTTTGTTGTGTTTAATTTATTTTGGTCCTACAATTTGCTCCATCATGCATTCATGCACCATCATTCTCTTTAATTACTGCAAACCCATCGAAACTTTAGATTCCATATGCTCCCCAGTGTACAGTTGGAAGTCATATATCTCTTTCAAGACAAATCTTAATTAAGTTGACTAGCTTTTAGGATATTAGGATTTGAACTATGAAATATTTTTGCTCTTTCTACAGCAATTTAAAAGAAACTTTGCGTGATTTATGCTTAGGGATCTTGAGGTTCTCTGATTAACCTATTGGGCTTAAAATTTTATTATAACTTTTGGCAAAACTCAGGGGTTTGAAGCGTACGTTGGACTACAGTTGCTAAAGAGGTAGACTTTTCACTCTTTTGGTATATTGGAGATGCTCTAAGAGGTAGAGTTTTCACTGAGTGGAATGTTGCTAAATGGCAAGTATTGTTTTCACTCTTTTGGTATATTCCAATGACACTGGTATGAGCTGAGTTTTCCTAATTCAATGGAGAAAATCGATCAAAAGGAACTAAAGTAACAAAAGTTGGAAACAATTTCGATGGTATCATCTGAAGTGTGGTTTGTGGGATTCTTCTGGTAGTGATAGGCTGTTTGGGAACTTCATAAATGGCTAAGTCGAGGCCTCGAGGGTTAAGACAAAGATGAAGAAAAGTAAAAGCAGAGCAGAGCTTAATCAGACTTCATAGTTCTCAACTCTAGGGATCTGAAAACTATGAACGTTCTGTGTAAATGGAAGTGCAGTTGATATTTGATGGATTTGTCTTGTGTTTGTACAATTTTAAACTTTTAACTGACAATTTGTAGGGTTCCAAATTTCAGATCTTGAAGATGAAATAAGAATGTATACTTGTCATTCAGCTTAATTTGAGCATGGCACATTAGTTCGGATTCCGATATCTCACGCATATGTTGAAATGAATGTTAGCTTTGCTGTGTACCTTTCTTTATTAGTTCGTAAGGGTGAGCATCAAAACCGAACCTAACCAAAAAAATTCATACTGAACCAATTGTTCTATTTGAAACCAATTATCCAAAATCTGAACCAAACGAAACCGGAAAAACCGAATGTTTTGGCCTAGTAATTAGTTTCAGCAAATTGGATGTGAAGTTCTAAGGTGTTTTGCTGTAATATGTTGCATTAAGTCTTTAATGGTATAAGCAATGGAATGTGAATTTAAACGTTTTATGCCAAGGAATCAAAACAATACTTGTTAAGAATTTTTTTTTTTAATACAAATTGCCTATTTTCATTTCTAAAATGGGGTCTTTAATTACTTTTTAGGCCTAATAAGTAATAACCCCTTTCTTTTTTTTATTTTTCTTTTGTCGTCAAATCTCTTTGTTTAAGTTGGATATAAGAGTAGACTGTCGGTGATTCGTAATTGGTTAGTAGTTTCGTATATGTACCTATGTAGGGACTTAGTCTACAGTAGCATCTTTCACGTTTTCTCTGGGAAAGAAAGAAAGCGACAGAAGATCTAACCTTCCGATTTGACGACATTATTTATTAGAATATGGAGCCAAAATTGTATTCTTTCAAAAGAGAAGTAGGAAAGTATTGGGACAATGATTCTTCCACGACTGTTCGTTGTGATCAATGCGTGTGTTTGTATATAAATTAATATTATGATACATACATGATTTAAGATATTAACATCTTCGTGAAGTGACACTTAACATATACGAAGTTATGAACCCATGCGTGTATGGAGGCTCGGTTGGTGATGGATTTTTTTTGTTCCCTTCTGCGGTTCTGCCTCATGTCTTATAATTTTTTTTTTTGGTCAAACATATCATTAAATTTCTATTATTTATTATTATTATAATAAATATTATATATATTCGTGACCCAAATCGAATATTAACCGGATTTACAATCGAATTGAACCAAAAGTAAAATCTCAAACCCAAAACCTAATGTTAAACCCTCACCGTTGTACGAACCGAATCACCAACTCCTACTAACCCCTACTACGTACAATGCTTTCTCTCCAAACTACCTCCTTGCTTCCGCTGCGTATCCGCATCTCGTAGCAGTGTCGCTAAACCCAAGACTCCTTTTCTCCGTTTACTTTACGCCGTCTCCAGCATCACAGATCTGCAGAGTCGTCGTGAGTCAAGCTTTCTTCCAATCTCCATCGCCGTCCTCTAGTAGTATGGGTCTACGCCTCGCACTGACGAAAAAAAAAAGAGATCTAGTCTCCTAGTTCACCTCGATTTACCGGCCAATGCTCAAACTTGAAAAAAAAAAAGAGAAAAAAACGATGAAGGAAGGTTGACAGCTGCTAGGGCGAACTAGAGAGAAGTCTTGGAACGATTGTCTTTTTTTCTTTTTTTCTTGATATGATCTATCTTTATGCCTTTAAATTAGCGTGATGATTGAATAATCTTATACCAAAACTATAAAAAAATCGGTGGTAGAGAAAACTCAGAAAAATGACGACCTGGTTGCAAGATTATTATATGATTAGCTCGTGAGCCCTATTAAAAAAAGAGTATATTTTATAGTAAAATACGATTTCGTTCTCTCTAATCATGTTTATAGAAGCATGACTTTCTTTTAAGTAAAAACTCTCTAAACCAATTCTCTCTTTTACTTTTTTTTTTTCTTTTTTTATTATTTTAATGTTGAAATAGTCACTTGAGAATCCCAATGAAGATGCTAAAGAAAGAGTCAAAATGTCGAGAAGAAGATTTTTGTCAAGAAAGAAAAAACCGAACATATAAAAGATTTTGTTTGAATGTGGGAAATGTGGTGTTTAGCCCCAAAAACAAAGAAACAAAAATGTAAAGATTACAAAAAGCAAAAAAAAAAAAAAAAAAAAAATAACGAAATAACAAATAGATTGTAAGAAGAGTTACATATTTTGAGGAAAAAAAAAATTGTAAGAAGAGTAGTAGTTAGAACGTCAAAGCAAAGGTGCTTCACAGGAAGCTTTCATTCATCGAAAATGGCAGATTTTATAATTGGTCAAACTCTGCCTCCCAATCCCAAGTCTTCTTCTTTATTTACAAATCTAAAAACTTCATTGTCCCCAAATCCCTAAACCCGCATAATCTCCATTCTCCGATCTCTTTGTTTTTCTTTTTGTCTACACTTACAAGTTACAAAACCCCAGAGAAAACCCTTAAACCAAATCTACTCAACTCCTCACTCTCTGCTCTGTTTTCTCAATGGCTTGTTTCTTGAATTGCGTCCGATTCGAAGCCTCCGCGACGACCACCGACAAGCCCACAAGCAAAAGAGGAGCTTTAAACGTCTCTGGCGTGACCTGTTACACCTGGGATGACGTGAAAGCTCTCACTTCCAATTTCTCTAGACTGATTGGTTCCGGTGGCTACAGCAGTATCTACATGGCTCGCTCCGGTGGCTCTGACAAGGCGGCTCTCAAGGTTCACGTTAGCAGCCACCGTCTCTACCAGATCTTCAGAGTCGAGCTTGATATCTTGCTCCGTCTTCAACATCCCAACATTGTCAAACTTCTCGGCTATTTCGACGATTCAGGTACTGATTCTCAAAAATCTTTCTTTTATTAGCAAATTCTGGAGCTTGATTCAATCAAGCAACGTGATTCCAGCCTTGATTCTACAAATTTTGGAGGCTTTAGAATCAAATTAAGTAGATTGATGTGTTGATGGTCTTGTAAGAATGTGTTGTTGTTGTTGTTGTCTGTATAGATTTGGTAATATGAAGTATCCAATTCTTGATTCTGCAAAGTTTGAAAGTTTTGATCAAGATCACTATTGATTAAGCCTGTTTTAGAATTAAAGTCTGAATCTTTTTGTTGTTTTGACCTAGCAGATTTATATCTTGATGTTCTTTTAAGAATATAATGTGTTATTTTCTGTGTATAGAAAGTAGTAATATGTAGTGTCCAATTCTTAATTCTGCAAAATTTAGAGGTTTTGATCAAGATCACTACTGATTAAGCCTGTTTAAGAATCAAATTCGGAATCTTTTTGTTGTTTTGACCAAGAAGATTGATGTTCTTTGTTTCTTTATTATTCAGAGGAAAATGGCGCTCTTCTTCTCGAATATCTTCCTCAAGGAAATTTACAGGAGAAGTTACATATCAACAGCAAGCAAATTTTGCCATGGAGGAACCGTATCACCGTTGCGTTTCAATTAGCTCAAGCCATTGAACACATTCACGAGAAATGTATCCCTCAGATAGTGCACGGGGACATCAAATCCTCCAACATCCTCCTAGACAAAAGCTTCAACTGTAAGCTTTGCGATTTCGGGTCAGCTAAAGTCGGTTTCTCCTCAATGGTTCAGCCTTCTAAGATGTCGTCTAGATCTAGACAAGTGATGATGGTGGGATCACCGGGTTACACAGACCCTCATTACTTGAGAACCGGGATAGCTTCCAAGAAGATGGATATGTATGGTTTTGGAGTTGTGCTTCTTGAATTGGTTTCAGGGAAAGAAGCGTTTAACGCCGAGAAAGGCGAGATGTTGGTTCATATAGCTGCTCCGCTTATACATGAGGTTCTTGATTCAAGCGTAGACATTGCAGAAGACAATGTGAGACGGTTTTTGGATCCGAGGCTGTTGAGAGATAGTATTCATATTGATGAAGTGAAGACAATGCTTAGTGTTGCTGCGCTTTGTATCAGTAAACCACCATCTCAAAGACCTTCGGCTTCTCAAATGGCAGAGACTCTTGTACAGAGAATCCCGTCTTTGAGTTTCCTCGGTTGTGCTAAATTGTAAAGGAGTGTGAGTTTAAAGGCATTCAAAGATTTTATGTAGTTTAGATTTTTGTGCTTGAAACAATAGTGTACAGTTCTTGAAAAACCAGCAAGAAAAACCAGCAAGATAAAAACTATGTAAATACTCTGTTTTGTTATGTGAATAGCATCAGCAAAAAACATTTCGTGTAATTAGCATTTTTTTTTAATCCTTTGTTTGATTGTTTTGTCTGGAGATATTCTTAGAGAGAGCGAAGTTCTCTTCATGTCAATGTAAAGTAAAGGTCAAGCTTAAAGTAGAAGCATGACACAGAGAATAAGCAAAGTTTATGTGACTTGTAGTGCTTTTAAAGGCTATGTTTCTCAATTTCTACGCTCCACAGTAACACATACTGGAAGGCCTTTCTAGGAGAAATAACTAATAAGCTAAAAATCTGAAGTTTGGAAATTCAGTTCAAAGGAAGAGAAAGCCTAAAATTATATTTGGACCTGTTATTGAAGCTTTTCTAGCTTTTATATTGAGTTTTTCAGTTATTTTTTAGAGTGAATTTGCTGCAGAACATAGAAATAGTCAAAATTAAGAAGATGAAAAAAATAGTAAATAAAGGAAGATGTAATTTTCGAAATACTTGAAGATTACTTAAAAGTCCCCCGCGACAACTTTTGTTATTTAGGTAAAAATTAATATTTTATTAAAGGAAAAAACTCAGATCTTATTATTTCCATAAGCAGTGTATATATACATTACATAATTAATGTATCAGAAACCCTAATGGGCCATGAGACATTAACCTGATGGTTAATGGGCCAGTTACTAGAAGTCCATTTGTTTATAACACTCCCCCTTGGACAAGGTAACCGTGCCTGTCACAAAACCGGGATCTCTATAATGCGCTGGGGAACGTTGCCTCATTAAAACCTTGACCTGACCATCCTTCTGTAGCTCATGAGTGAAGAAGAATTTGGGCAGAATATGCTTCGTCCGGTCACCTTTGATGTAGCCGTCCTTGAGTTGAGCGATACAAGCTGCATTGTCTTCATACATCACCGTAGGCTCCTTATCTTCGTCCATACCACAATCTGATCGGATATGCTGAGTCATGGACCGCAACCAAACACACTCTCTACTAGCTTCGTGAATGGCCAAGATTTCCGCATGGTTGGATGAGGTAGCGGCAATAGTCTGCTTCATGGATCTCCAAGATATGGCTGTTCCTCCATGCGTGAAAACATAACCGGTTTGAGACCGGGCACAGTGCGGATCTGACAAATATCCTGCATCAGCAAAACCAACTAGACCATCCTTGTTATGGTTAGAATAAAATAATCCCAAGTCCTTAGTACCTTGAAGGTATCTAAGGATGTGCTTAATACCGTTCCACTGCCTTTGAGTTAGACACGAACTAAAGCGAGCTAAGAGGCTCACGGCAAAGCAGATGTCTGGTCTAGTGTGACTAGCCAAGTACATTAATGCTCCTATGGCACTGAGGTATGGCATTTCAGGACCGAGGATTTCTTCATCGTCCTTCTTTGGACCGAATGGATCACTATCCAATCCAAGGCTCCTCACAACCATTGGGCTGGTCAATGGGTGGGCCTGGTCCATATTGAATTTCTTGAGTACCTTTTCAGTGTATGCCAATTGATGCACAAGGATTCCGTCATTGACATACTCAAGTTGTAATCCCAAACAGAATTTAGTTTTGCCTAGGTCTTTCATTTCAAACTCTGCTTTTAAGCATTCAACTGTTTGGGCGATTTCACCAGATGTTCCGAGGATGTTCAAGTCATCCACGTATACTGCTATGATTACAAATCCTTTGTTTTGATATTTTCTGATGAAGATGCATGGACTGATCGGATCGTTTTCGTAGCCTTCTCTGATGAGATATTCGCTTAACCGGTTATACCACATACGTCCGCTTTGTTTCAGTCCATATAAGGATTTGTTCAGCCTAATGCAGTGTTTATCACGAGATGCATGCTTATCTTTGAGCTCAATACCATCTGGTAATCTCATATAGATTTCACTGTCCAGTGGTCCATAAAGATATGCGGTTACAACATCCATTAACCGCAAATCTAAGTTTTCTCTTATGGCCAGACTTATGAGGAATCGAAATGTAGTTGCATCCACCACTGGAGAATAAGTCTCCTCATAATCGATTCCGGGTCTCTGTGAGAATCCTTGTGCTACAAGGCGTGCCTTGTATCTAACGACTTCGCCGAGTTCGTTTCTTTTACGCACAAAGACCCATTTGTTTCCCACTGGTTTAACATCGAATGGTGTCCTTAAGATCGGACCAAACACATTCCGTTTCTTTAAACTATTCAACTCCACGTTTATGGCTTCTTTCCATTTCAGCCAATCTGATCTACGAGTGCACTCAATTATAGACGTGGGTTCTAGATCCTCTTGCGTGTGCGCAATCTCAAGTGCTACCTTGTATGCAAAAGTTTCATTGATGTCGACATCTTTTCTGTTCCATAGAGAACCGAATATGATATAATTGATTGAGATCTCATTATTATCAATCCCTTCAGAACCTTGAGTTTTGGCGTCCCAAACCTCTTGAGATGGTTCGATAGGGTAAGTATCAGCTGAGGCTGTATCCGTGTTCTCTTGAATCCCGGTTTCAATCATTGCACCTTTCTTTGATTTCTGGGGATTCTTATCTTTGGAACCTGGTGGTCTGCCACGTTTCTTACGTGCGTCAGACTCTGTAGCAACTTGACTTTTCCCTGAGGGGACATCTATTCGTACTGGTGCATTACAAGCTGGTATGTACGATTTGGTAACTTTGTTCGGGTCAGCAAAGGAATCTGGCAATTGATTAGCTAGCTTTTGTAAATGTATAATTCTTTGGACCTCTGAATCACATTCTAGAGTCCGAGGATCTTGCCATTGTGTGGATGTTTGATTCCATGAAAGTTCTTTTACCAGCTTGTCTGTCTCACCACCTAATCTAGGATATACCGATTCATCAAATCGGCAATCTGCATATCTGACTTTAAACAGATCTCCTGTAGTTGGCTCGAGATATTTTATGATGGTGGGAGAATCAAAACCAACATATATTCCCATCCTCCTTTGAGGTCCCATTTTAGTCTTCTGTGGTGGTGCAATGGGTACATAGACTGAACACCCAAATGTTTTAATATGGGAGACGTCTGGCTCATGACCCGTTAGCAATTGGGATGGTGAATATTTGTGCTCACTAGATGGTCGTATACGTATTAGTTCAGCGGCATGTAAGACTGCGTGTCCCCAAGCTGAGACCGGGAGTTGTGACCTCATGAGTAATGGTCTAGCAACCCATTGAATTCGTTTAATGAAGGATTCAGCTAATCCATTTTGTGTATGGACATGTGGAACGGGATGTTCAACACTTACCCCCATGGACATACAATATTCATTAAACGCTTGGGAAGTGAATTCACCAGCATTATCAAGACGTATAGTCTTTAATGGGAAGTCTGGAAAATGGGCTCGTAATCTGATGATTTGGGCCAATAACCTAGCAAAAGCCTGGTTCCTAGAAGAGAGCAGACAGACATGCGACCAGCGGGTCGATGCGTCAATGAGGACCATGAAATATCTGAATGTCCCACAAGGTGGGTGAATTGGTCCACATATGTCTCCTTGGATTCTTTCCAGAAAGTTCAAGGTCTCTTTAGACACTTTGACTGGTGAAGGTCGGGTAATCAGTTTCCCTTGTGAGCAAGCTGTGCACTTGAGGTGCTGAGGGAAAATACCATTTGGTTTAAGGCTGTGCCCTTTAGAATTCTGGACTAATTTACGCATCATGTTCGCACCGGGATGACCCAGGCGATCATCCCAAATAGTGTAATCTAAAAACCGTGCTTTGATAGCAGCATTAGCCTCAATCATATTGACTTTAACATGGTAAATGCCAGTAGATACGGCGGGTATAGTTTCAAAAACTTGTTTATGGCCATTTATCATTTTAGTGATAATTAAAAACTCTTTGTTCCCTTCATCCTGAGTTTCGATATGGAAACCATTCAATCTTATGTCTTTGAAACTCAATAGGTTTCTCTTAGAACTGGGTGAGTATAAGGCATCAGAGATGTCTAGATATGTGCCATTTGATAACAACACATTAGCTTGGCCATGGCCCTCTATTAGGCTCGAACTACCCGCTATAGTGCTAATGTTTGCGGTTTTGATTACTAAATTTATGAAGTAATTCTTGTCTTTTAGAATGGTGTGGCTCGATCCACTATCCACAATGATATCCATATTGTCTTGCATATCTTCATTAAACAAGAATTATAATTCAATAACATGCAAAAATGAGATGTAAATAAAACATTACTCCATTAATTAAAATGTAAAAGCAAAAGGTCTTAAAAATCCAAAGTAAAGACAATAAATCCCAAAAACAAAAGATAAAAGTTTAAGGAGTAATGAAAAACAAATTCAGTTTTTTTTTTAGATCAATCAAGGAGGTCGGAGAGCTCATAATCCATGCCATCAATCTTATCATCCTTTGAGTCATCTTCATTGACTTGATGAACCAGGTTAGCCTCATGATTATCTTTCCCATACTTCTGGTAGAGCTCAGCAAGATATTTGGGAGTACGGCAGATCTTGACCCAATGATTAGTCATTCCGCATCTTGAGCAAGGAGTTGGTCTAGATGAACTGCCTCTTTGGGTCGGTTTGTTGATACCACGACCCTTACCCCGACCAAAACTGAGGTTAGGTCGGTTATCTTGGTTCGGTCTACCGCGTCCTCTGCCGCGCAGTCCATGTCCATTTCCACGTCCACGTCCACGATCTGAGGATCTGTTACGTTGGACAAAGTTGGACTCTTTTCTGGTTCCTTCTGGCAATGGGGCTGATCCTGGAGGCCGCATGGCACTGTTCCTCAACAGAAGCTGATTGTTCTTCTCAGCAAGCAGTAAGCAAGATATCAAATCCTCATAGGTGCTATGATTCATGGCACGGTATTGTTGTTGGAGAACAACATTGGGAGTGCCAAAAGTAGAGAATGTTTTCTCTAGCATATCCTTATCAGTGACCTCCTCGCCACATAGTTTTATGAGTGCAACTATCCGAAAGAGTTCGGAATTGAATTCTTCGACGGATTTGAAATCTTCGAACCGTAGGTTCTTCCAGTCGAACTTGGCTTGGGGCAGTA